GGTTAACTGTGCCCTCTAGGAGCACCTTCTTCATTTTTTGACTCTGTTGTAACTTTGTTTTGACTGTTGTTTGACTGTGTGTGTTTTTACTGTGTTCCGACTGATTTTTGACTGAGTTTTAATTGAGTTCTGAGTCTTCTGAGTGAGTTTTCACTGTGTTTTAACTGTGTTTTAACTGTGTTTTAACTGTGTGTGTTTTGGCTGTGTCAAGGCAGGTTACCTGTGCCCACTTGGAGCACCTAATTCATTTCGACTCTGTTGTAACTTTGTTTTGACTGTTTTTTTACTGTGTGCTTTTTAACTGTGTGCTTTTTTACTGTGTGCTTTTTAACTGTGTGCTTTTTTACTGTGTTTTTTTACTGTGTTTTGACTGTGCATCAACGCAGGTGAACTGTGCCCACTTGGAGCACCTTCTTCATGAAGCACGGGAGGAGGCACGGACCAATCATTGTGCTGCCAACAGTGGGGCAGCAAGGTATACGGCGTTACGGAATGTCAGCATTAAGCAGAGAGGGCTCATGGCAAGGTTTGAAAGAGCGATCCCGATGCCGGGAAGCGATCCAGTTGTACCCTTTCCTGATGGTTTGATTACCCTCGCAAAGTCCCTCTCCGCCTCGAATGTTAGCCAGGGGGAAGGTGACGATGGGCTTGAATGGTTCAGAGCGGCGATACGCAGCCTGGCGGAACATGTCTACCAGTTGGTGGTTCACAAAGAGAAGCTTCTTAGACAATTAGAGATGGAGAGGAGGCTTGACGTCAATGATATTGCACTCTTCATGCGCAATGCGGAGGGATTTTATGTGGCCGCGTGCCCGAATCGGGCAAACTACTACTTGTCGGATCAGCCGTTAGCTCAACCATCAACAGAACCCAACCATCGGCTAGTGCAGCAATGTGTTGTGGGGAGAGTTACGCGCGTAGAGCATCATGTCGTTGCTCCATCACCGTCCGAAGCAAGCGGTATGTCGCATGGTGTCGACTCCGCGGGCAGCAGTTGTGGTTCATCCCGGCCCACCGGCGTAGTCCCCTCTGGTCCCTCAGCTCCTGGTGGTGTCAGCTCTCCGGGGGCCACGAGTACACCACCGGATACACCTAGGAGTCCGCCGACATCAGTCTGGAATCCGTTCAAACTTCCGATAGGTGGAGAGTTTTTTGCCGTGACGGTGACTTCCATCCCTGGACTACAATTTTTGCCTCCATCAGTTGGCAGGCCGAGATGACGGTTGGCAAGGGAGGGGTGGTAGGTACCCTGTCGTCAGGTGCCTCTCCTGCCGAAATCCCGAGGTAGGAGGAAGCCGAGCGGAGAAGTGCTTCGATCGCATCGTTCCCCGGGAGTGCACTTGCCGGCAAATGGGAATCGGGAAGCGACTTGCAGATGGCAGTGGAAGAATGCAGCTAAGTCTGACAGCCTATAGCTTCTCTCTCATCCAGGTGAACTTGTGAAGTCGAACAATTCTTATTTCGAAGTAAATCTTTACAAAATCATTGTAGTGTCTGTAGATACTGGAATTGTTGGTAAAWRAGAGAGAGAGAGAGAGAGAGAGAGAGAGAGAGAGAGAGAGAGAGAGAGAGAGAGAGAGAGAGAGAGAGAGAGAGAGAGAGTRTGAATKTAAKRKGTAAATCTTGTGATGAACGCGGTTTGAGGTGGGGGTTGGAGGGGTCAAGCGAGGGAAAGGAGGGGGGAGGAGAGGAAGAGGGTTGTTGGTATCAGGAGATGGATTGTGTGGTGGTAATGCCTCTTCTGATGTTCGACTGCCGTGGCGAAATGTAGAGATTGTAAAAGTGTAAAAAGATTCTCATGTTTCTTTTTCCCTTTTCCTAAAATGTTTTCCCATTGGACCTTTTGCTATTCCCCGAGTCTGTGTTTGGTTATTTGTTCCGTCTATTAGCGAAGAGGTTCCTGTAATTTTTCTATAGCTGCGGACTGGATGACTATACAGTAGCCTCATTTGGCACTGCTTGTGTGAGTGATGACTCCTATGTTGATGATGATGATGATGATGGTCAGGATGGTGATGATGATCGTGACGGTTATGATGATGTCGGCGGCATTTACCACAGTCATTCGCGATGACTAGATGGATGGTGATGATGAGATTCTGATCGGACGTGTGTGAAAGGGAAGTTACGGCTCTTCGTTTGGACTTTTTCGGTAGTTTGCTTCGATCGGTGAGAATTGCACGAGTAGCATGTGACTGAGTGTTGAAAAAGCAGGCGATTTTGGAGAAAGGGGGGAACTGTCTTAGCGGTGGAAGCGTGTGTAATTGCCCCGAATTTGATGAAGACGGGAATGCGACTCAGTGGTGAAGGCGGAGCCATAGCCTCCATTGATAGACCTTTTTTTTTTTTCTCCATTTCTTTTTATTATCGCATAATTTGGAAGAGGGATGGAGTCGCAAATGATGGTGCTGTGATCATTAGCACAACGTGATGGACACTTTTTTTTTTTTTTTTAATGAAAAAGGAGCCATAGCTCGGAGATGGACGAGGAAGATTGCCAGGAATGTGTCCTTTTTCCCTTCTTTTTTTTTTCTTTTTTCGGTCGAAAGAGGAGTAAGTGCCTGTATCACATGTTGTATACTGTATACTGATAATGATTCAATACAGTTGGAATGGGTCAGATGAGTACTATACACTGTATCTGGTCATGTTGACTGTGAATAATATGAGCGTGGGACCGCTGTGGCTCCATGACGGGGATCTGCCGACTAGGTGCACTGCATGTACTCTTTGAGTGCTATGGTTGCAGTTTGCAGGAAGAAGGGAACTGTTTGCGGCTAGGTTGTATCTGGTCATGACGGGTAACCGAAGCAGAAGCACTGCTGCATAGTACTGCACATGTACACATACTAGACCGGGACTTTCGTATGTGGACTACCTGGGCGGGTAGGTACTTTGTAAGTCTTATGCTTGCAGTTTGAAGGTAGTAGCACACTATCCCAGGTAACCCATGCAGGAGGTACGATGCAAAGTACAATGCATTTACATGTACTATGTGGTACCATGTAGGCCTGCCTGCGAAGCAAAGTATAATGCATGTATGTGTACTATGCGGGGACGTTGTAGACAGTAGACCTGCCTGCTTGCACTTTGTGGATAGTGGCATGCTATGTAGGGTACACATGCAGAAGGATTGCTGCGTAGCACTATGCAGTTGGTCGTACTATGCAGGAACTATGCAGACATGTCTGCCAAGTACTGTGTTGTGGCACATATCGTGCACAGGAACATGGAGAAGGATCGTTCCATAGTACTATGTATGTACTCGGTACTATGTAGGGAACGGACTATGCAGACTGGTCTTCCAAGTAATGTGTTGTGGCACATTGTGCACAGGTACATGGAGAAGGACTGCTGCATGGTATTGTGCATTTACGCATGCTATGCAGGGACTATGCAGATTTGTCTGCCAAGTACTTTGTTGTTGTGGCACATATTGCGAGACAGGTAGATGGAGAAGGACCACCTCATAGTACTACTCATACTATGCAGGGACAATGCAGACCTGTTTGCTAAGTACTGTTTTTACTTGCACTGTGCAGGGACTATGCAGACAGATCCCGCAAGCGGGCCACGTTGCAGCTGCCTATGCAGAACTGCTGATGCATAGTACTCTGTGTCGATGCGTATTATGCAGGGACTACTGTACAGGTACCTTCGCAGAAAGTGTGGATGCATAGTATCTGAGTGTACTATGCAGGGACTATGTATATACCTGTCTGCCAAGCACTGCTGTGGCACATATTGTGCAGAGGAATGACAAGTGCCCCAGTGCTTCTGCATAGTACTCTGTATCGACTATGTACATGTATTATGCAGCAGCGCTTCTGTAGGCCTTTCTGGGGCACATTGTGTGTGCCGGACTGCAGTTATTGCTTGCTATACAGTAGGGAGGACGGGACTTTCTGGCTTTTCTGGGCCATATTGTGTGTGCCGGACTGCAGTTATTCCTCTCTGTCTCTGTGCAGTAGAGAGAATGGTACTATGCACATGGGCATGAAAACGGTGATGCAGTGCGGCAGTTGCATGCAGCAAGGTCGTGACTGAGCGAGAGAGCGGCAAGTGGGCGGAAGGCCAGGGGTTCTTCCAGCTTCTGGTTGCAGCCTTATGTGACCTGACCATGCTGACGTGATCTGGCCATGCTGATGTGGCCTGGCTATGTTGTATTACATCTCAGCTATGGAGCTCTTAAGAATGAATGGCGTGTGATGCGCTGAAGCAGAAGGGCATGAGACCAGAAACCCTGATAGAGGTGGCTGGTTGAGAAAGGAGAAAGTTTGCTGAAAGACAAGTGAAAGATCAACTTCTTAACTCGTGAAAGGCCAGCGGTCCTTTTGAAGTCCTGGTTTGTGCGTGCGCCGGTAAGCTTACGGGTTTCCAGATATCGTGGGGGAGGGGGAGGTCGGTTTTGAAGTCCTGGTTTTTGTCATATGGTGTCGAAATTGTGGGTTCCTGGAGGTGGTTTTCGCCATATGGTGTCGAAACTGTGGCTTCCTGGAGGATTGGTGGAGAGAGAGAGAGAGAGAGAGAGAGAGAGAGAGAGGGTACAAATCGATGGATTGCGGAGGCGGATGCCAGAGATTTCTCGTGAGGACTTCATTTTTCGTGCTTATACTTTTTGTTCGTGCGACTCCAGAGGAGCCCAATTGGTAGACCCTAAACCCTAAACATCTTACCATCTGCTTTCCCGTCTTCTCTCTCCGATTCTGTCCTCTTCTTCCGCTTTCTAGGCCCTAAACCCCATTTTCCCTTCCTTCCGTCTCCAATTCCGTTCTCTCCTTCTGCTCGTTTTCCCTTGTTCCCTCTCCACTTCTGTTCTTGCCTTGCTCTTCTCCATTCTCCTCTCCTGTCGTTGGTAATTCCGCGCTCTTCCCTTCTCCGGTCTTGCCTTTCCTCCCCTATCCTACCTCTCTCCTACCCTTCTCCCACCGTCCTCCTAACCATCTCGTCCCCCTCTCTTCCCCTTCTACTACCCGTTTCCTACCCTACTCCTCGTGCTCTCCTACCCCTCGCCTACCCTTCTCCTACCCCTTGCCTACCCTTCTCCTACCCTTCTCCTACCCGTCTCCGACCCCTCTCGTACCCTTCTCCTACCTGTCTCCTACCCGTCTCCTACGCCTTTCCTACCCTTCTCCTGCTGCTCTCCCATCCCTTTCCTACTCCTACCCCTCTGTAACCCCTCTGTAACCCCTCTGTAACCCCTCTTTAACCCCTCTCTTACCCCTTTCCTATCCCTTTTCCACCTCCTCTCTTAGCCCTCTCCTACCCCCCTCTCCTAGCCCTCCTGTCTCTATGGCTCTTCTATCCACCTGCCCGTTCTACTCCTCTTATCCCTCCTATCTGCACATACACCTCCCTGACCCCTCTCTCCTATCCCTTTGTGCCATCCCTTCGCGTAACCCCTTCACTGCTGTACCCCCTCTCCTACCATCTGCCATTTTCCACCCCCCCCTTGTCAATCCCCTCCGTCCCTCTTTGCTCTCCTTCCCGCCCCGTTACCTGCCCCTTCCGCCCTCCTCCCTGCGGTGTCCTTCAGTTGTTGTTTTCACAGCGCTTGTTGTTTTCACACTGCTCATGTCACGTTGCCCTCCCACATCAGGCCTCATCACCGTGCATCATGTCCCTTCCCCTCCACTCCCGTCTCTTCTCATGACATGTCCTTGCTCCACCTCAGCACAGCTGTCCTTGCTTCCCAGCAGTCGTTTCGTCTTCTTTCCTCTCCTCTCCTCTCCTCTCCTTGCCGCGTCTTCTCTCTTCTCTCTTCCCTCTTCTCTCTTCTCTCCTCTCCCCTCTCCCTCCCCTCCCCTCCCCTCCTCTCCCCTCACCTTTCCGTTTCCCCCCTCTGTTCTTCTGCCCAGGCTTTTCACACTTCTCTTTGTTTTAGACTTCTTTTTACATTGTCTCTGCTTTAATTGACGTGTTTGAAGTTTGAAGTTGTTCCTGCCTTTGCGTTTATGTCTGCCCTCCCGAAACTTCCAGGCTCGTTCTCTGTGAGAACGCAGTACGACTTTCCAGTCTGAACACCGACCGTAATTGCTGGCAGATACATCCCAGAACTTCCTAGTGCGAATATACTCTGATTGTCATGGCCGATACATCCCAGAAATTCCTGGTGCGAGTATACCAGTGTCTTCCTTAGGTTTGTTGTTGTCTACGTTCACCCTTGGCTTTTGATGCGTCCGTTTTCTTCTTTGTTCTCCTTTTTCTTTGTTTTTTCTTCTCATTCTCCCCTCCCCTCTCCCCTTCCCACCTCCTCGACCCCTCGCCCCTCCCTTTCTCCTCCCTTTTTCCTTTGTTTTCCACTCTTATCTTTTCCTTCTTCCCATCCCCACCTTTCCCTTGGCCATTGCCTCCCTTATGTTTGTGGTTGTTCCAACGCCACCCTCTGGGGCGAGGTCGCACTAACAACGAAGAGGCTTGGATTAAGCTCCTGAATCTTTGGACGTGTTTTCAGCAGAGATGCAGACAAGCAGATCAATCTCGAT